GAGAGAGAGAGAGAGAGAGAGAGAGAGAGAGAGAGAGAGAGAGAGAGAGAGAGAGAGAGATTGACCGACCTGCTGACCACGTTACGGAAGCAAGGACACCAGCACATTAGGGATGCTCACATTGGGGGACATATGGAATCAGGAACAGTCCTGGTCACAGTTTCCGTCCACCCCTGCCCAGATGGGGATGCACGACTTCCCTCCATCTGCTTCTCACTAGGCAATTTCAAGCACTCTTTAACTCTCATTTCAAAGTCCTTTTCATTCTTCCACTCGACATTATCTTTTTCCTGCTTTTTTTCATTTTTATGCGCTGGGGCTTCCCAGAACCCTGCCCGGGAGTCATGCCTGGCGAGGCATCCGGGCATGCATCCAGGCACAAGTTGGGAGTCCGAGTGCCCAGAAAAAACAGCCTCGAAAAAAGTCAAAAATGAACAAAGAAATGAAAAAACTTCAAAACACTTGAACAAAGCTAGGCTGGTCCTCAGCCGGCCCGGCTGGAGGAAGGTCGGGCGGCCCGAGCAGCCCCAGTGCATAATATTAAAAAAAATAAAAATTTTAAAAAATTCAAAAAAATCTGGAAAAAAATATGTTGTCAGTACAAGCAACGTTTGGCTGAGGGTCCCCTCGAAATTCCTTATTAACCTTAAGATAAAAATAAATGAGGAGAAATGAGGTAAGATATACCCTTTTAAACCCCTCTAGTCACTGTTTAGAGTAACTTTATAGCCCCCAAACACTCCTGGGTGAGCCACTGACTCAGGCCGAGCACAGTCCTGGCCTGAAGTCAGTTTCTTTTTTTGGGAGATCCTTCCCCTCTTTTTTGACCCGCCTGGTTTTGCAGGGCGATCCCCCCCAGCCCAGCTGGCCAGGGCATGCCTGGGCGGGCGTGCCTGGGCGGGCAAGGGGCCAGCCTAGGAGAAAAGCCAAAAGCAAAAAAAAAACTTCAAAAAGTAAAATTTAAAAACACACCTTGTACGCATCTGTTTCTTGTGCATTTCCACAAAAAACTTTCTCAAGAGCTTCCTTCAGCAGCTGAAGACGGCATGTCACATACCCGCGAGCAGGCCCTCCGTCATGTCCGCCTGGAAAGAAACGGAAACACAGCATATGCGATGCTTAGAAATTAGTATGCAATTACTGTAATTTAATGGTAGACTGCTAACAGTGCTAAGACTGGTAGGTTTTTTTTTTTTTTTTTTTTTTTTTTTTTAAGAATGCATGGAGCCTCACTTCTCGTCACCTTGAGCACACACACACACACACACACACATTGAGAGATCACACAAAATCCACACTTGAAACCAGAGATGCAAAGTCCAGAATAGCGCAGCTTAGAGATTCCAACGAATTATCATATTAAACAGTCTCGGATTTTCAGTCACCAAGTGCTCATCAGCGCAGAGTTCAGCAACCCAATTCCTGCAACCTCACTAAGGTAGGTGACTCTCTTCTCTCTCTCTCTCTCTCTCTCTCTGTCTTCGTCATGCTCTCTCTCTCTCTCTCTCTCTCTCTCTCTCTCTCTCTCTCTCTCT